GTGCGAACCCAATCAACCCACCTAACCCGCCGAGGCCGAGGCGTAGAAACGGGGCTTTTATTTTTTACTAACTTGTCCCATTTTTTAACAGTTTGTATACAAGCGGATACAGACCCCCCCCCCCACCCCCCCACCCCTGCTGTACCCCAGCACACAACGTCCTCAGCTCGGTATTGTATAGCTTTCAGTTTATTTATATTTATATAATATTTATTATTAGACCGAAAAAGAATTAGAAGTATGAGCCAGCCAGTCTTCAGCGCGGAGTGAGAACCGCGCCAATTTGCATACTAAACAAGCCGCGGGAAATATTCCACGTCCTCAAAGAAAAAAACAACATCATTTACATGCATTATTTACGCGAAACATATTTAGTCTTAACGCGAAAATACAAAAATATTCAGTCGGAAGGAATGAGGATGTTAATTAGCATAAAATATCGTGGTAGGGCTTTGGAACGCAAGCGACCAACTTCACAACAGAAAACTGGGAAGACTTTACTTTTAAATGGAGACTTGTATACACCTGCGTACCCCCTCCTTTACCTCTTCCCCCTCAACAAAAACCTTTTAGTCTCACTTAGTTACCAAACACAAGTTGTCAGCAGGGCGGAGAGTACGTCTGTTACCATAACTCGCTGTATTTTCCATATTTGTGAACTTATTTCCATTGCCTGAACCTCTCCATCGTCTTTACTTGAAAAATAAAATAGTCTCTCGTTCCGTTTTCTAATTAATGGCCGTGTGTTTCAGTATTTTCAAAGGGGAGACCAAATTGTTTGCTTTCAAGCTTCCAGCGAGGTCTCTATTTTGGTCTTGACGTGTCGTGGTCTCTATGTTGGTCTTGGTGTGTGGTGGTCTTTATGAGGTGGTCTCTATGTTGGTGCTGATGTCTCTGGTCTATATGAAGGGGTTCTCACAAACGTGTACAATAAAGTTCTGGCTTTCTCTTATTCAAACATTTATTTGTATCATTATCTCTTATTTTTATTTATTTTTTCATTTTTATATTTATCTGTCTCTGACTGTTTTTCTTTAGTCCTTTCTTTCACTCATTCTCTCTCTGTCTCTCTGTCTGTCTGTCTCTGTCTCTGTCTGTCTGTCTCCTCTCTCTCTCTCTCTCTCTCTCTCTCTCTCTCTCTCTCTCTCTCTCTCTCTCTCTCTCTCTCTCTCTCTCTCTCTCTCTCTCTCTCTCTCTCCTACCATCATCATCATATGCCTGTACATTTTTCATGTATAATACATATTAAATAAAGGACAGACGTGTTCTGATGAAGCATTTCTTACCCCGTTTATTTAGCCTCTTTAGAATGGCATTGTGTTGGCTTGTGTGGTGGTGGCAGGGTGTGTGGTGGTGTCAGAGAGTGTGGTGGGTTATGGTGTCAGAGTGTGGTGGCGGTGGTGGTAGAGTGTGGCGTCAGAGAGTGTGGTGGAGGTGGTGGTAGAGTGTGGTGTCAGAGAGTGTGGTGGCGGTGGTGGTAGAGTGTGGTGTCAGAGAGTGTGGTGGGTTATGGTGTCAGAGAGTGTGGTGGCGGTGGTGGTAGAGTGTGGCGTCAGAGAGTGTGGTGGTGGTAGAGTGTGGTGTCAGAGAGTGTGGTGGCGGTGGTGGTAGAGTGTGGTGTCAGAGAGTGTGGTGGGTTATGGTGTCAGAGAGTGTGGTGGCGGTGGTGGTAGAGTGTGGCGTCAGAGAGTGTGGTGGAGGTGGTGGTAGAGTGTGGTGTCAGAGAGTGTGGTGGCGGTGGTGGTAGAGTGTGGTGTCAGAGAGTGCCAACGAAGCCTTGTGAAGAACACACACACTGCGGTAAAACTCTTGGTTGTCTTTCTTAAAGTTGGCGACGCTGTCCACAACAGCTGTGGCGCCTCGGACGCTTCCTGACACCTTCTCCCTGTTCATCACCCCCCCCCCCCTGTCTCTCACTCTCTCTCTCTTCGTGTATTTTGAGAAGCGTCCAATGTGTCCTCCGCCAGCTGCTTCATCACTGTCTCCACTTCCTTCCTTATCGTCCTTAATTCGTGTGCCCGCCTCCATGTCTGCCCTTCCTCGCTGCTCCTCCTTATCTGCCCCTCCTCGCTGCTCCTCCTTATCTGCCCCTCCTCGCTGCTCCTCTGCCCCTCCCCGGCCACAGTGACACTTCCTCTCACCCCCCCACCCCTCCCTGTCTCTCAAGGCTCTTCCATTTACCTGTATGTGGAATGTAATTATCTGGGTCTGGCCAGCCTTATTGGAACCCTTTGCTCCCTCCCCCCCCTCGTCCCCCCACCCCCTGTAACCACCGCCTCACTCCTCTTCACTTGTCTTGATCTGTGGCACTTGGGAGTCTTGTGCGCGCGCGCGCGCACACACACACACACACACACACACACACACACACACACACACACACACACACACACACACACACACACACACACACACATACACACACACACACACACGACATAAGGAGGTTAAGAGTCATGGCATTAAGCAACCAGCAGCCGTAATGGCGGCGCTTAATAGCTAAGCGCGTTCGTGCAGCCAAACTTGGTGAGAATACACGCAAGTAAAGAGGCTGAGGCTGAGTTACACACCATCAGTAATGGACACAAAGTTTGAGGGAATATATCAACACATACTTCAATAAACAGCGCCAAGACGCTGAAAGAAATAGCAAGATGAAGTGGACAAATATGCACGTATCAAAGGAGAACTAGAATAAATACAACACAACTATAAAAAACTATGAAAGTGATATCCAAAGCAAAGAAATAACTGAAGTTACTACATGGTAGTAACCCCAGGAGGCCTGGTCGACGACCGGGCCGCGGGGACGCTAAGCCCCGGAAGCACCTCAAGGTATGGTCATATAAGAAAGATAGTTACAGAAACTGACCATGTGACCAGATGATCCAAATTGGGAGAACACTGAGAGAATGACAAAGAAATCTGTGAGGACTTAAATGCCAGTTTCTATGGCGTGTTCGCGACTGAACACAGCAGACGGAAGTTAACTACCATCAATACATGACATGAAAGCCATTAAACAATGTGTATATGTATACAGACAATGTATCTCCATGGATGTTAAATTTAACTTCTTGTACTTATATTCATGTGTAATCATTTAGTTCCATAACTACATTTTATCGGTAATATAATATTATTTGATGCAGACATATTGAATATTGAAGTTGTCAAATATAACTTACAGACAATGTCTTTGCGAGAAGTTAAGTTGAAGATCCAACACCCGCCGGCAGCTGCTAAGCTAACCCCAAAATAATTACAGCTGGCCAAACTTACCATCATTTCAAATTTAAAATGAAATTGGTGCCAAGAATTCCTATTGTTAGCTACTGTTGGAGACGAAATGATTGTGAACATTGTATTTAGTTCCTTTGGACACATTTAGATGTTCCCCTAAATGATCGTTAAGGAAACGCCTAACCTAACGTTACCTATGAACTATGAACAATTGCAGAAACCTTAATAATTTAATTTACCTAGCAGTAAAATAGGTACCTGGGTGTTAGTCAGCTGTCACGGGCTGCTTCCTGGGGGTGGAGGCCTGGTCGAGGACCGGGCCGCGGGGACACTAAAAAGCCCCGAAATCATCTAAAGATAACCTCAAGATAACGGTGACTCAAATTTTTAACATAAATTTGAATAATCTAACGTTAGAGCAAAATAATTATTTAAAAACCTAGCAGCAAAATTTTGATCTCTTGAAATATAGTTTCAAATGGCGAGCAACAGGCCGTTACCAAGTTAGTTATTAACATAACATTAACATTAAATCTGATGTACATGAAGCTTCATTAGCATATGGATAAAGGCCACGCCCAGCTCATGTCAATAATGTTACTACTCAACTTTGTTGACGCTATGACTGGCTAAAGCTAGGCTGTGTTGACGTTATGGCTGGTTAAGCTAGGCTGTGTTGACGCTATGGCTGGCTAAGCTAGGCTGTGTTGACGTTATGGCTGGCTAAAGCTAGGCTGTGTTGACGCTAAGCTGGCTAAGCTAGGCTGTGTTGACGTCATGGCTGGTTAAGCTAGGCTGTGCTGACGCCATGGCTGTCTAAGCTAGGCTGTGTTGACGCTAGGCTGGCAAAGCTAGGCTGTGTTGACGCCATAGCTGGTTAAGCTAGGCTGTGTTGACGCCATGGCTGGTTAAGCTAGGCTGTGTTGACCCCATGGCTGTCTAAGCTAGGCTGTGTTGACGCTATGGCTGGCTAAGCTAGGCTGTGTTGACGCCATGGCTGGCTAATCTAGGCTGTGTTGACCCCCATGGCTGGCTAGGCTGTGTTGACACCCACCAATATTGGGTTTTCAATGGCTATTCACGAAACCAGTACATCTTTCTTCAATCATGGCGGCTTAGTATTTATTAATCATTTTACGATTTTCAATTTAATTTTTACTAATACGTCGTAATTTTAACGAATATAGATTCTGGAAAGAACGCGACGTATTAGGTATCAACTTTTCTCAAAACGCTTCGATAACAAACAGCTCAAGTTTTATATACTTTTTTGTTTACTTCAAAAAGTTATATAGCATGAAGGCCCCGGCATTCGTGCCACATTCTCATAACTTTTCACATCGTATAACTGGTTTAAATTCCCATGAAATCTATAAAGACAAAAGTAATGCAGAGAGCTTTGGTAGTGAGCGCTCGCCAGAACCACTTCTCTTGTCAAGGCCACGGTGACCTAACAAGTGCTATAATCAGAAAACTAATTCAGTATTATATATGAATATGTATCTATATATATAACATTGTTAATTAAAGGCATATTTTTACAGAATTGTGATGATGCTGAGCTGGGCGCTTTCGTTATGTCCAAATTGATGTACGAGCTCAGTACTGTTAAAGACCCCCTACCCCAAGCCCCCTATCCCACAACCACACTCACAAAGGCCCCCGCCCTCCCCACCTATCCTCAAGAACAGACTAACAACCCATTCGAGTTAATAACCACCAAGCCAGAGGGCCATAACCAAGGTTCTTGTCCACAGGTCAGTGTCCCTTCATGTGGATGGAGACGCCCGGGGCCTGCTACTACTTGGCTCGCCACAACGCCTCCTGGAGCAGCGGCAGGGAGTACTGTCACTCCCAGAGTGCCAGCCTTCTCGACCTCCACTCTGACGAGGAGAGTGACTTTATCCAAGGTGAGGAGTGACCTCGTCATGGGTGGGGTGGGGGTGGAGTGACCTCGCCATGGGTGGGGGTGGAGTGACCTCCGCCAAGAGTAGGAAGAAATATAGATATCTATATACCTATTATTTATAAATCATATATTAGATGTATATAATATACTATAATCCTTCAGGGGTCAAGAGTTTCCTAATGCATGTTGGCTTGGGGACCATTCAAGCTTGACGCGTAATATGCTACAAGAGAGAATGTGTGTCTGTTCGAAGTTGGAGGCCAGAGGCTTGAGTCCAGCTTCACCTAAATTGACCGAGATGACGGTCTGGGGTCCAGGATGAACATAGATTGGTTGCGGCCCCCAGAATTCAAAGGGGAACAGTGTGTCAATGTATTAATTAAATTAATGTACATTTTCTGCTGTTCATAATTTGCCCGTACTTGCATAAAATAAGCAGTCCCCCAACTGTTTCAGAGGTTTCTCAAGCCACGCTTGAGAATAATTTGTAGATAGCCTATATAACATCTTTTTTTTTTTAGACACTGTGCATAACTAGATCCGGTATTACAGATGTGATGTTAGGCCGTAGTTGGCTAGGCCTACGGCGTAAAAAAGATAGAGACGATTGGAGGTGGTTGACAGGGGCCAAGGTGAACTACACCAAGTGGCAGAATCCTAACTCAGTCCCCACTGACACTTCTCTCAGTTACTGTGCCATGGTGAGTGTCAACCCTGGTGTTATCCCATCCCTCAAGTTCAAATTCAAGTATGTTTATTGAGACAAGAAAAAAAATATATCTCAAATGGATAGAGTAGCTTAGGCTATTTCTACCCCCCCCCCCTATCCCATCACCCTTCCCTAGTGTGGCATGTTAATGGCTTTATTATGCGTGTTCTGTAACAATTAGTTAACGAGTGTATCTTATTCTCGTACATATCTTAAATAATTTTCATTTAATAATAATAATTTTGAGATTTATTCTCGATTCCTGTGTGTTAGGACTTGAAATTAATTTCTGTCGTTGTGTTCCAGATGGAGGAGTCCGGTGATTGGCTGGCGGTCCCGTGTCACGGTGAAGACTCTGCTTACGTCATCTGTGACTACACCCCAGGTGAGCTGCCACGGTCTCGTCCCAGCCTGTTCTCCCGGACGTTCCCAACGTCTAGAAACTCCAGCCCGTTCTCCTGGACGTTCCCAGCGTCTAGAAATTATAGTACTAAAGTACCTCCCAGAGAGCCGCTACCAGGTTGACCAAACCACACACTAGAAAATGAAGGGACGACGACGTTTCAGTCCGCCCTGGACCATTCTCAAGTCGATTCCGTCTAGGACGGACCGAAACGTCGTCGTCCTTTCATTTTCTAGTGTGTGGTTTGGTCAACATATTTCAGCCACGTTATTGTGACTCCTCGTCTGCAGCCGCTACCATTTTCTAGTACGACAGTTTTTTGGGTTTAGGTAAAGTATACGTCAAAATGCGACGTGGTATTAGGAGGACGGGTTGCTGTGTCCAGCTGCTGGCGGGGGTAGCGGGGGGCGGGTCTACTGCCCAGCGCCAAGGAAAACGTTCACGAATAGTGGAAATAATGTAAATTAAAATGACAACGTAATGTATTGTTCCTATAAGAATGAGTACTTTAATATATGGAGCGGCCAAGCTATGCGAGGTAAATGGTATGCTTGTTTTGTGTGCTAGTGTGGTATTATCGAACATGGGAATTCAGTTTTCACAAAATTAATGTTTCTAAGTTTATTCTTGTTGTAATAAAAAAAGTGTTGTGCTCATATAGCCTCTTCCCCGTGTTCTTTTCTAATGTTGTCCTAGCAACAAGCCTAATGGTTTCCGTCCTCATATTGTGACTGAATGTTATAAAGGATAATTTGAATTTTTGACTCGGTTACCCACCTTTTCCCGTCCCTTATCATCCTACTCCTTCCTTCTCTTTCCCCCCTCGTCTATTCCTCTCCCCCCTTACCCCATTGCCCTCTCCCCCCTTACCCCATTGCCCTCTCCCCCACAGGATACAACCCGTTCATGCTGGTGGGGCCCGTGGTGACGGTGTGTGGGCTGGTGGTCCTTGTGCTGAGCATCGAGGTCTGCGTCAGGAGGAGGGAGTTCATAGAGAAAAACATGGAGGTCATCAGCGACACGGAGGATGACAGAGAGGTAGGCTGAGGAGGGGGCCAAGCTGGGGGATGGATAGGTAGGCTGGGAGAAAAGGCTGCAGGTAGCCATAGATGCAGACTGAAATGGGGAAAATGCAAGTTGGGGGTTGAGTAGGTGGACACAGCCAAGCGTGAATGTGGGCGGGTAAATATGTGGTGGTGGTGGTTGTGATATTACTGACATGGATGGTTGAGCTGGTGTGTGGTGATGCTGGCAGCAGTTGTAATCGATGGTGCTTGTGGGTAAGCGATAGGGATGATGGTAGTTCTGGTGAGTGGTGAAATATTGATTGTGGTATGGGTGGTGATGGAGCGATGGAGGGGGGGTAGTATTTAAGGTGATAGGCGTACCAGTAATACAGTAGTGATGGTGATAAGGTGTGTAATGTTGGTAATTGAGAGCGTGCGGGCATGGCAACTGGTCGCTGCGGTAATGTGGATAACAGTAGTAGTGATATGACTAGTGGTGGAGATTCACTTCGTAGTTGTGATAATGTTAGTGGTTATAGGGATGGTGGTTATTGGAAAGGGAGGTGATGGAGGGGTGTAATGTTGGTAGTGTTGCGGTATATCTTAAGTCATTTATTAAATTGCCTAATAGTTTCCTAAACGTTTCACTTAAAAATAGTTGAACAATATTTAAGAAACAAAGCGTTGGTTGCATTTTGTTTTGTAAGTGATTCCACAGCTGCTGGAGCTACATGCAGTTAAGTATTGGTTGAGGAAAGGTCCATTTGGTCAGCCACAATGTTTGTACATATTTTCTTCTTTGGTGTTGATCCCACTCTCCTATGGATAGTATGGATAGTCTAGCCGTAGTCTGTGTTATCCATTCCTCACCCAGGCTTGAACCTTTAACTTGACGCCTAGACCATACATAGCCTCTGGTTTATCCCTAACTCGTGCCTTAATCCTTGCACTTATGACAAATAAATTTTTCCGTTTGCATGAACTAAACAATAGACAACTATATTGTTACTTAGTACATATGCATGTAGGTAGTTGTGTTATTATTTGTAATGTTAGAATATTTTTTCAACAAATTATTTACTGCTTTGGTTAATTATTATGTGATAGTGTACGTGGCATGCCAACAGGAGGAGTCGACTGGCCTGATCAACCAAGGGTACTCCGGGTGGGTTGTGTCGGAAGCCTAGCCGTCATCACCACCGCTCGCAGCACTCCACCTGTAACCAGCCATGTCCTACCACCAGTGCATCCCTGCCACCATATACCCCCACTTGAGTCCCCACACACACTCATGAACCTTGTAGACCCCCCCCCCCCATCCCTCTCACACTATCACTCACCGCCCCCCACACGCATGGCCTGCAGGCCTCACCTCTTGCTTCCTGTAACGCCTTCTTCAGCCCCCGTGCAATCAGCTGTGAGTGCTAGTCGTGCCCTGTGTCCTAATTGTCTTGAGTATAGAAGGTGGTAGTGTAGCTGGCAAGTCGGTGCTGGCCGGTATGGTGATTGTGTGTTTCACCTCAGGTGGATGCTGGTCTCGACAACTATGGTTATGCTTGCAAAGAGGACGAAGACCCTGACGGCGCAACACGGTGTCCCCGGGTCGATCATCCTGTGAAATCAGCGACGTCAACCAACTCTTGGGTACAACAGTCTCCAACTCCCGGGGCAAGCAAAGATATTACTGGTCCCTTGGTGCATGTGGTCCCCGGGAGCAGCAAAGAAACCAGTAGTCCAGTGGTAGACGATGCACCTGAGGGCAGCGAAGATACCAATAGCCCAGAAGCACAGGGTTCACCCGGGGGCAGCGAAGGTACCATTAGCCCAGTGATAAGTCTGGCGTCTGAGAGCAGAGGTGTGAGTGGCCTCATGGTACAAGTGGCACCAGCCTCTGCCTCGCCCTCGCTCCCACCGCCATTGACGGAGGAGAGATCTCGTTCTCAGGAACACCTCGAACTTCTCCTTTCACCCAAGACGCTAGAGTGACGTGCACACTGGACTCTTCTTTTTTTTCAACAAATGTATTCGCCTTAGTATCCTCGAACCGAACAGTTTTGGCTCGAGTAACCCATTCCTCTGGAAGTGGTAACGAAGATGCTATTGTTGCAAGAGTGGGCAAAAATAATAAAGGGTTAATTGTGCCTTTATCGTATGTCATTATTAGGTCTGGTTGACCTAATTTTCGTTAAGTTGTATGGCCATTGTTCACCAGGTCACGAACTCTGTGGTCCTGTTGACACCACCTACATAAACTCGTTACGTCACACGTCAAACTGACCTTGTTTACATCAAGGTAGAGTAATAATCTGTGACCTAAGAGGATAATAAACTGTGCAATGTGTGGTAGGCCAAAGAGGCTCTGTGTTGCTGCTCTCGCTGCCACCATGCCAAAGAGGCATGTTGACAGTGGGAGCAGCAACAAATGTTTTGTAACTGTGATATATTACTCGTAATATCCCCGACAAAGACTCTCTGATATGTTACTTGCTTATTTATGAAATTGTAGACAGACCGCTTAACATTTGTTAAGCGTAATGAAGTCATTGTTTGGGAAAAACATTCCAAGCATACACACGCCTACACGCTCTCTCGCACGAGCATAAATACATATCAGTGTCAGCGAGTCCAGCGGGGATTCAAACGGCTAACATTTCGAACTGGCGTTCTTCCCATGTAGGGGAGATAGTGACTTGCTTCTCCTCGCCTCTCCTGATAACCCGACCACACCGCCAGCTCCTACCGGCCGTGTCTCGACCTCCGCCATCTCCCAACGGCCGCCTTATAATTACGAGATAAGATTCTGTAAGAATCCGGCAGGATAGATAAGGCGTTCGGAAGGAACACTGAAACAGGATTGTAGATTTATGGAACAGATTACCGAACAACATAATCGACATGGAATCGCTGGATTGTTTCAAGTAAAGGTTAGACATGTATGCTTGAGTATAAATAGGAGCTGCCTCGCATAGGCCAATCTGCCTTCTGCAGTTGCCTTAATTTTCATGTTTTTAAGGGGCACGGATGTAAACTTGAGGCACAGATGAGTCACATTTTTATTATCACATCTTTAGTGTGAGCAGTGTTAAGAATTGATATTTTATCTTATTACTCTTATTAGGGATATGTTAATTAAACAAACCACAAACAAACAGTCAAACAATTATGTTACCATATTTATTTATAATATGGCGAATATCGCCCTGTTTTCTTAATGATGTGTTGGGCACTACACATCTCAACTGTTTCTGCCTCGCTCAAAAACATAAATTACTGTCAGGCCTGCGTTGACCAACTGAGAGTCACATCCCCTCCTGATATCTGAGGGAAAAGTCCTCATTGTCAAGATCCGAAATTTTGCGCTTTCCTATTGCCTCATTGTCAATAAATCAGTCCCTTTGATATCGCTCGTAGTATGAGTTATGTCTCTTATTGGCATTCCGAATGATAGTAGGAACTTTTGAATATTTAAACAGTGCACCATAGCACAGGCGTTCTGTTGATTACTTGACCAGCTGCCCAGAGAGGTGGGCAGTTTCATGTAAATTAATCCAGGACGTTGGCAAAATGGGTATCACTTTAGTCTGTCCAGCCACTTCGAAGTGGTGGGATGTAACTAACTTCTGTGGCGGCATCCACCAGCCCGGTTCTGATACCGGCAGCTGGGACGACTTGACGCTTGGGAATACTTACTTCAAGACTGTAATTTATAAAATAACTGTGATTCTCCCGAATACTCGTCTGCGACTATTCTAGACGGCGGAGCATAAAGAGCTAGACCTTCCTTCCCGTAGTCACTGAAAGGTAAGTACTCTTACGTAGCTAATGGCAACCTGCATTCAATTTTAGTTATTTGAAGTCGACCAGAATGTCACCGTACATGTATGGTGTTTACATCCTCTGATACTGTTACCGTAATGGTTTGGATTTTATATTAGTATACGCACTCGTCGCTAGGGAGCGCTCATCTTGCGATGATGCCAGCTTATATTTTATCAATTTGAATTTGTCATCTGTGATACGGCAACACATTGTCTATGAAATTTACATTTTCTGAAATGTTTGAGCATCTTCTAGATGACGTATTTTAAATATTTACAATACCGTCAGCTATTAGTTTTTACTATGCATATTTTAACTATATACAGGCGAATATATGTACAATGAGCAAAGGCTCATCAGCTCAGTATTACAGTGGTCCTATAACAGTAGTGAGTAGGTGGTAGCCGAAGCTGACTCGACAGATTTAAAGGATAGTATATTAAAAGTAGTGTGTCGTGTTCTGTGCATCTAGTGACAATAGACAAGCCCAATGTTCAACTCTGCACTCCCTGACCAGAGTCCCGCCTCAGACCCACTACCACCACCTAGGGAGAATATAGACAATGTTAGTGAATAGTGGAGCGTGGTGGTTGAATACCATTACCTCCCCCTGCAACCCGTTCTCGCACTTTCTTTAAGTCAATATTGAGTTATTAAATAAGTGCATATGTGACATACTAATTTATTGTTAATATTTTAGTTTACCTTGAAAAGCTTCATAGAAAACACTGACCTTACCTTCTTAGTATGTTAAGATAATTGTAATTATGAAGCAACAAGATGCTTATCTTAACATACTAAGAAGGTAAGGTCAGTGTTTTCTATGAAGCTTTTCAAGGTAAACTAAAATATTCACAATAAATTAGTATGTTACATATGCACTTATTAAATAAGTCAATATTGACTTAAAGAAAGTGCGAGAACGGGTTGCCCCCCTTACACAACACATTCCATTCACGTCTGTAATGTCCTCAAAGCATCAGCTTTTCCTCTCGTCAAAATACAAATTGAACTTGTAATACACAGCCAACGAAGACTTTAAATCAACATGTAATTTTTCCAAGTGATTTATAATAAAAATACAATGAATTCCACGTAATCAGCAGCTCTCAGTTTCTATTGATGCCAGATATTGTCTTCCTCGGGGCTTCAGTATAAGCTGTGGTGGAATAAGATGCATGATGCAGTACATTTTGGAGTGCCAACATAAACTTAGAACACGTAGTAATGTATAAGGCATACAGTAGCGATTTGATAACATTCATGTAATGCCAAATACTTGATATAGTGACTTGGTTCATTCATTGCTTAGATCATGTTAATATGATCAGTATTATCTCGAGCTCGATCTTGTATTATTTGAAATATAAGAGATTATAAAGTTTAGTTTTTGTAAATGTATGTGGTACATTATTTATAGATCTTATTATAGTCCTGGTGGCTTGGCGCTTTCTCTTGATATTCATTAGTTGACCAAGTTTGATGTACAAGTAATAATGTGATTGTTTACATTTATCTTAGTTCCTGCAGAATCATTGCCGACTAACTCACCTTGATAGATGTTAGTGAACGCCTTCATTTGCTTCGTGACTCCTGGCCCCTATACAGCATTCAAGTCGCTCTTAGCAATAAAATATATATATATAATATATATATATATCCTAGTAGGTGATACCATAGAAAATGGTTGCATGTATATCTATTCAATTCAGCCAGAATTGTGACTAAGTGTAAAGCCTCTTGATTCTGTTACTTACGACTTGATCTGCAGTGTAATATTAAAGTATGTGAGCAGTTACCAAGCACTGGACGAGGTAATAGTAGAAGAGAAATGGGGAAGAATGATAGTATAGAGTATATAGCAACACTGAAGAATGAAGGAAAGCGGTGATGAGGCTACACAGATGTTAATTTTGGAATACAATTTTTTGCTACGCCGGAGAACTTTCGTGAAGAATTGTCATTCTCCAGAGAGAGTAAACTTTTATAAGTTTTATGCGTTATTAGTAATTTATAATATAAACATCATAGTGAGATTCTCTATATATAAAATGGTCATATGCTTATGACCCTTTACGTAGTTGTCATTTGACAATAGCCTTAAAATTGTATTATAACTTTCTACAATTTGTTTTCCTATAATATATGACAATCTACACGTGGAAGACTGCTTTGTTAATCGTGATTCTAAGATCATTATAACAAATATGACATAATACACGAGACAGTTTTTGGTAAAGTATTACATAATTTTACCGGAGAAATTGTGTAGTTGTACAAGACAGTATGATGGTAAAGTATAGCCGTTTTCGATGAATACCTAAAATGCAGCCTAGTTTTTAGAGCAAATTAATACATCTTCATGAAAATATTGTCATGGGGGTAGAAATTGTATCAAGCTGGTACTTAATTTTAGAGCCATAGTGAACACAATATATACCATGTCATTCCACAGAGGCAGGACCTCTTGTGAAGTGTTAGGTTGTAATAGAGCCAGGAATAACTTATATGATAATAATATAATACTTTATATATGTTGTGTGAAGCAGGAGAGGCTTTACACAATACTGTGAGGGAGCAGGAGAGGCTTCACACAATACGGTGAGGGAGCAGGAGAAGCTTCACACAATACGGTGAGGGTGCAGGAGAGGCTTCACACAATACGGTGAGGGAGCAGGAGAGGCTTCACACAATACGGTGAGGGAGCAGGAGAGGCTTCACACAACACGGTGAGGGTGCAGGAGAGGCTTCACACAATACGGTGAGGGAGCAGGAGAGGCTTCACACAATACGGTGAGGGTGCAGGAGAGGCTTCACACAATACGGTGAGGGAGCAGGAGAGGCTTCACACAATACGGTGAGGGAGCAGGAGAGGCTTCACACAACACGGTGGGGGAGCAGGAGAGGCTTCACACAACACGGTGAGGATGCAGGAGAGGCTTCACACAATACGGTGAGGGTGTAGGAGAGGCTTCACACAATACGGTGAGGGTGTAGGAGAGGCTTCACACACAGTACGGTGAGGGTGTAGGAGAGGCTTCACACAATACGGTGAGGGTGTAGGAGAGGCTTCACACAACACGGTGAGGATGCAGGAGAGGCTTCACACAATACGGTGAGGGTGCAGGAGAGGCTTCACACAATACGGTGAGGGTGTAGGAGAGGCTTCACACAATACGGTGAGGGTGCAGGAGAGGCTTCACACAATACGGTGAGGGTGCAGGAGAGGCTTCACACAATACGGTGAGGGTGTAGGAGAGGCTTCACACAATACGGTGAGGGTGTAGGAGAGGCTTCACACAATACGGTGAGGGTGCAGGAGAGGCTTCACACAATACGGTGAGGGTGTAGGAGAGGCTTCACACAACACGGTAAGAGAGCAGGAGGCTTCACATTCTCTCATTATCCACCTACTTGCTTTCCTTCCTGCCTAGGCATTGAATATTACATAACGGCAGACACATATGTACTTCAAAACATTTCTAGAGTATATTTGCCATAATTCAGAGTGATGAGCAGCCCTTCGCTGTGACCTATTTCCAGTGTTCTCGTGTCCGATTAAGTTATTAGTACAGTATTCGACATGGATGTTGTGTTTTTCCAGTGTTCAATAAAAAAATCAACATTAAAATTCCAGTTTTATTAATGCACCTTTGAACGAACTGGAACAGTAATGGATTCCTCCTGGGAAACCGCCTAATAAAAACAATTAAAGTACAGTAACTTACAGGGATTAAAAACAAAGGCGATAAAGCCCATATCTTTCATAAATAGCAGTATTTGCAGCTTTCACAAACAATTTTTAACAGATATCTCGCCCTGTCCATGGAGGACAGAAGAAAATGTATATATGCTGGTTAGCATTGTAGATGTGTGGCCATGTCTGTGGTAGCAAATAATAATAATAAAAAAACAAGAGCTTTGAAATAATGATTCATTATATAGAGACTCGTTCGTATTTTGCGGAAGTGAAGGAGTGGCTGTTGACCATTGTTAATTGACACTTGAGACTCGCAAAATGTTAACCAATGGGGGTGAGTTTTAGGGTGATTGTCAACCAATCAGCGGCCGGGTTTGGTTGGCTGCTGGATATAAAAGTGACGATGAGACAAAATGCACTTCAGTGTATTTTACCTCACTTTTGGTATACAGTTCCAGCTTCGCCTCTTGACTTTGAGCTGTATGTGGAGGATCCCCTCACCCCCCTGCCCTTTGTTGCGTCCACCTTCCCTTTCCTCCCCTGCCCCTTGTTGCGTCGCCCCTGCCCTCCCCTGCCTCTTGTTGCGTCCACCTTCCCCTTGGTTGCGTCCCCGTCCCTTCTTCCTGGTTCCCGTACTGGAACTAGTAAAGTGTATAGGGGAAACCTACCATTATTTCAGATTTGCCTTCACTCAAAGGTTGGGTTACGTAATGCTGCGTGTGGCCCAACAGACCCAAACTGGCCTGTGACGCTCCTCTACCCCACTTATATCATAGGAGAGGCTAGCCCTTAACGTCTGGCCTTCAACCTTAAAAATTCAGTTAAATAAATATTGCCAATTTCTCTAAGTGTAAAATGGGGTTATTAGTCTTAACTTTAAAACGACAAATTCAAAACTAAATTAAGAACATGTTTTATTAACATGACTGCTTAAAATCAGCAGGTTAGAGATGTAATTCTAGTACACGTAATGGGTCACTATTAGGCGAGTACTAGTAAAATTTTCCCTAAACCCAAATATATTAATGTTTAGGATGTCCATCCCTGGTAAAAAATATATATATAACTATTAACACTAATTATAACTTCCTGTCGTATATATCAATCGTAAAATTGCCTTAGAGTAGCATTTAAGTAATTTATATAATTCATGGTTTCACTATAGTTCTAATGTAACAAGTTAACGTAATAATTCGTCCTGACCATTGCACCTGAACGATGGTTAACTTAACTACCGGTTAGTAGGGGGTGCAATTGTCAGCCCCCGGAGGTCCACACAAGGCAGTCAGAAGCTTGACAAACGCGTCTTGAGTAAAATTCAGATGCTAGTCTCCGGACACTTCCCCTACAGTGGCTTGTTCTAGCCGTTCAAAAAGCTGTAGTTTGGTGGTACAGTATAGCCGTGCACGTTGACTGTATTTATTAGTTAGTTAGGGCAAGTCTGTTAAATGTTGACAGTTGATACACTTTAGTGTAAAAATGTAAACTAAATTACAGTTAAAGTATGTTTGAGACAACAACAAAAATACATCTCAAAGGGATAGAGTAACTTAGTCTGTTAATCTTTTCTTAGCAGTCGCTGTTACTACAAAGGTATAGCATTGTTTGGAAGTTTTTTTTTTTTTTTTTTTTTTTTTTTTTTTTGCTTGGCAACCCCCCCCCCCCTCCCCCTTCCGTCCTCTGTGCTCAGTCCCATAAGGTCTCCGTGCCGTCCTCTGTATTCCACAAATTCCCATACTGTTTGAGGATGAGGTGCAGAGTACATGTGGTGATACCGGGTTGCACATGGTGGTACAGTAAATGTGGAGGTAAAGAGTACCTATGCGGATACAGAGTACTTGTGGGGGTAAAGAGTACATGCAGGGTGCACGTGCTGGTAGTATTGGATCCAATATACATGCTGAGGGTATTATGGTCTCTACTCCCATCCCGTTGTGGGGTTGTGGATCCCATAGCCATCCTGTGAACGGTATTGGTTCCCATACCAATCATGTGGGTGGTATTGTAGTATACCCTACTTTGTACGTTTTCTATAATACATAATGTACGATCAATTTTCTTTAATTTTTTGAGTATATTCTATTGTATATATAATTTGGCACCAATTGGAAATATTTAAATAATTCAGCTGAACACTTAGTAACCAAATGAGCCACAGGGACGTTAGAAAGAACTTTTTCATAGTTGATAACAGATGGTATGCACTAGGCAGTGATGAGGTGGAGGCAGACTCTATACACGGTTTCAAATGTAGATATGATAGAGCTTAAAGAAGTTCAGGAATCTGTATACCAGTTGAGAGGCGGGATCAAAGAGCCAGAGCTTGGGGCCCCCCCCCCCCCTCCCGCAAGCACAGCTAGGCGAGGACACAAGTGTGAATATTAAATTACAATTATCGTCCAAAATTGATCAGACTGATTATTCTGGTGTCTAAGGCGATGGGATGGGGTACTATGGTACGCGAGGAAGGGTTGGTGCCTGGTGATAGCTAATAACTAACTCTACCACAGGGAAACTGAATATTATCATAGGAACTATGAGCATTATGACATAAGTACTATGGTATCCCAATGACAGGTTGTGTACGGACAGGACATCGGCGGTCCAAGATAAGTTTATGCCCTCTGTAATCGTTATTTGGGCTACCGTTCACAGAAAAGTGGATGCAAAATAAACTAGCGGCCTCCGGTGGTAACAAAGGCAGTACCGATCACTAACAAATTGTTTCAGCATACACGCTGAATCGGGGATGAACGAAAAGTACAATTGCATACACAGTAAGATGTTGTAAAACATCTAGATGTAAGTTGTAAAACAATTAATAAAAGAACAATGAGACCTTTGAATGCATTCAGAGATCTAGAAAGCTTATTAACGATAGCCACATTAATAATTAAATCTTTGCTACACTGTTGAAACAACAGATACTAGAAGCACAAATCGGCTGAGTTTGACATGGGCGGTAGAGAAACTTTTTTTTGCTTTGGCTAAAAATTATAAGACGTCACTATCACAATTAAAGTTTCAGCCTTTTATAGTTATTGAAAGACAAGCCATCCTTTGACAAAGCTTATGGCATAGAGCTCTCAGAACCCACTCTACAAGGTAAATTAGCATTTCTATTTCAGGAACATTAGAAAATAATTAATAAACCTTTTTTTTTTTTTTTTTTTGATATATACAAGAGTTGTTACATTCATGTACAGCCACTAGTACGCGTAGCGTTTCGGGCAGGTCCCTGGAATACGATCCCCTGCCGCGAAGAATCGTTTTTTCATCCAAGTACACATTTTACTGTTGCGTTAAACAGAGGCTACATTTAAGGAATTGCGCCCAGTAAATCCTCCCCGGCCAGGATACGAACCCATGACATAGCGCTCGCGGAACGCCAGGAGAGTGTCTTACCACTACACCACGGAGACTGTTTAATTAAATATCCAACCATTGCAACTTTTGTAATTCTCAAGTGTATTAGAACCAAAAAAAAAGATTCTACAGCCATTTTTCAAATCTGTAGCCCTACTTATATGTTAATAAACACTTTTGTCTGACGAACAAATAGTTCTATAACATTCAATTCTTATCCGATCGACTTGGGGATAGTATGAAGATGTTTGCCCTGAAATTTACGTTTTCTCTAATAGCCACATAGCCTATTTGAGAGAACGGAATTCTCTTATCTTCGTGGTAAAACTATTGTATTGTTGACAAGTGTAATCCACGAAGTTTCTTTCTTTGGTGCCGGTCTAACGCATCCTTGTGTGACATTTTATACATATATTCTAAAACATTCTATTGCGAACACATTGGTACAAAAATGAAATACGTACATAGAAAATTAAGGTCAGGACAGTGAAAAGAATATTCACTTTTCAATACTGGTTTAGCCAATGTGCGGTAACGGGTAACACTGCCCCACTTCCCACTCTTGCTGGTGGGCCGTGATCATAATTCTACATTTATATGGATATGTCCGTGTAGAGAATTTTATTGCGATCTCAAGATACCAAATTTAACGTTGTAGGACAAGTGTGGAGTTGACACCCCTGAAAAGAATAGAAACATTTCGTAGCTGTTTGGAGCTCACGGCTAGTGATCGACGTAGTTCTTTATTTGGTTTAACTCGTGCTTTGGTGACATTTTCTTCTAGAACATATTGCGAACACATTGGTACAAAAATGAAATATGCACATCGAAAATTAAGGTCAGGACAGTGAAGAGTATACACTTTTCAGTTGCCACTCGATCGCCCGAAACGCAGAGCGCTTTGAGCTATTTTGTCGTCCGCCGGGAGGAGTGATATTAAATTGTAAATTTGTTTCAAACTACACAACTATTTTCTTCCAATTGTCATTAAATTTGAAGTGTCCAAATCAAACATGGTTTGATCAAATTGAACAACCGTTTTACAAGAGCTCGAAAGCAAACAGTTGATCGATGTAAATGAACATTCCAACATTTAGGGCAGGTGAATATCAAACTTCTAATATTTCTCCTCCAACCGAGTTTCTCATGCTACCGTTTACCGTTCCTTTACGCCTCCTTATTATCCCTGCAGAACAATTTGTATAAATAAAACAAAATACAATTTTTTTCTTTATTTGTCAAACTCATGCAATTGAGCCAGCATTAGAGGCAATCCTGGGCCACAAGTCCGCACACTCCTTTGCTACGGGACCAGTGATGGCCGACCCTGTGGGAGAGAACAGTAATTATGCCTTGTGCTTAAAATCTTGTAGACTTGGTACCTTATGATACACTAACATTCTAATCAATGTTGCATTTGGAAAAATGAAATCACTTATACAATAAAATTATAATTTCCATTCAGATGAAGTGTATCATTCAATTTAACGAGTACAAGATATTAACAATTGTATCAACATTCAATTAAAAAAAAAAATTTAATACAAACCTTTCATTTCTCCTTTATTGTTAACTATAACACCTGCATTATCTTCAAAGTAAATGAAAACGCCATCCTTCCTGCGGTAAGGCTTCCTCTGTCTCACAACTACAGCAGGATGCACTGAAATTAATTTTGCAGTTATACATTTTTGATAATCATACACTGTAAACATGAATCATCCTTTACATTTTACTAAATCCTAATATACAAACTGGAGCTCAAAAGCATGAAACAAGGTGTATGGCAGGAGAGTGGAGTACACATTTCCTTTAATTTGTTGTGGAGGAGGAAAATCAGCCAGCAGCAATAATTTTAAGGTAATTTATGCTAAATTATAACTTTTGTAGTCTTACATGGCGAGGGTGAATTAGTGAAGTTTAAATACACTATCACTGATTATACCATGCAGCAATTGTGTTATAGAAAAAGTACAAATTTTAGGTTAAAGGGCAGGAGAAAACTTGAAAATAAACAATTACAAAACTGCATAAAAGGCAAAATATGGAAAGCTGGCAACATAAGAAGTCATTGGGAACCAAAACAATAACATTTAATGGTCTTAAAAATACAGAATGATATTAAGACTGTTGCCTAATGATGGCAGAGGGGGCAGGGGTCTCAGACGAAACTAAGCAAAATTAGCCTCCCACAACTTTGGATTTGTTTCTACACATGAATGTTGTCACACCTATGAGGGAAATTGGGTAACAATGAATCATGACTTTAAATTTACCAAGTAAATTAATTCTTGTAAATTTACCAAACATTAACTTTTGCAAAACATTCTTACTCTAAACTATACATATCTGGCTGGGTGGCTAATAAAAGTAATATTTTCCAAGAATAACAGGTGTCAATTGTTATTTATATAGCAGTTTATTTGTATCCAAATCCTTTCCATCTAATATAGTAATAGTAAAAATAAATCCTTTCACATACCCTTTTTCCTGAGCTCAGGCTTTCCCTTCTTCACTGTAGCTGCCACAATGTCGCCAACAGCAGCAGCAGGAAGTCGGTTAAGACGACCCTTAATACCTTGCACGGCAATTATGTAAAGGTTCTTGGCCCCTATAAAGAAAATTCATCCACAATATTAGAATACAGTTTAAGCAATTGTGCATTAGTATCATAGCCAAAACTGTAGCATGGCATTTGATCATTTGAGCTTTAGTGGGCTCCTATTACCCCACTAAGATTAGTAATGCAAGTGTTCATTTGTTACCTGAAAACTTTTCCTTAATAAAAGAAAACCTCAAACTGGCAATGAAGTTTGTAATACTAGTACATAGAACATTAAAATAGTGTTGTGGATTCTTAAAAACACTACTAAAACCTAATTCAGTGCAGAATATGGTCAGAATACACACATTACACATTTAATAGAAATACTTAAATATTCACATTGATCACAATTTATTTTGGCATGAGGTCAATTCAAGTCCAGGTATGCCTGATCAACCCTAGGAATTTAGTGTCATTTAGAGAATTCTGTGACCATTCAGGGAATTCTGTCATGGTTTTGCAGACATCCAGTACAGGATAACACAATGTGAAAATGAAGCAAAGGTAACAAGCAGACAACTGACAACTAGGTGCACTACAAATTGTCCTTAGTCAATTGTTTTTTTATGTACAATACTGAACAAAATTTATGAAAAATTCTGCTCAAGAGTAAACCAGGCTTGCAAAATACCATTCACAAAGAATTTAGTGTTCACAAGATTTAAAAATTATTCACTGGGAGGGAGGAAGGAGGCCTGGCCAAGGACTAGGCCGTGGGGATGTAGAGCCCCAAAAACATTACTAATTAAGGTAGACTACATGTATTAAATGAATGTATATATACAGGGAGACTGTAGAGGTCTGGTAATAAGGTGATGAAACAAAGGAAGCAAACCTGCTTGGCTTATGTAAAATGTCACATGATGCTATAAGAAAAGGATCACAAATAGGCAAAGTGAATATCATGACTGTTGCAAATGGTGAAAAGTTAAAGCTTTGGAACAGATGTTTAAGATAGAGAAGCCATAAACAGGAACTATAGGTGGACTAATTTACTTAATAAATGTATAATGGGTTTAAAGTAGCTGGCAAAAGTGTGGAAAGTAGTATGCATAATGCTGCATTTATGCATCAAGTAAACACTGTACTAATGTACAGTGTTTAATGTAGTTAGGTATGGAAAGTGGCAATGTTTTCAGGAGTATAGGCAAGTGAAAATAAAGTAAACAGAAGATGTATGAGGAATAATGCAAGATGTGTGTACATATGAAAGTGGTGAAGAAATGTTGGGGCCCAAGTGAAGCACAATACACTTACCACAAGTGGCAAGGACATGAAAGTAGGATGCCTTGGGGTTCAATTAACAAGAGTATACAAGGGATCATATGAAAAAGGCAGACAACTAGTGCCTTGGGAGGGGAAGAAAGAATGAAACAATATGAAAGGGTGAAGGGAGAATAGAAGAGCTTGAAACCAACATTTGTAGTGATAACCTGAACTCAAGTCATATCGTGTAGTCAAGAGGAAAATATCTTTACAAGTGCACATACCAAAGTGTCATACTGACGGGTAACTGCTAGAAGGTAGTAAAGGAATAAGATAAGCAAAGATTAAAACCTACATGTACAGAACAGTACATGTAATTTTAACAAATGCATATAATACACACCTGTGTTATCTGCACAGCTCATCACTGCCCCCACTGGCAGACCCAGGGAGATGCGGAATTTTCCGCCAGACGACGCTCCACGTCCTGAGAAAATGTTGAAACTTTACATGAACAAAAACTTAATTTATGAGTTAAAAAGTTATAAATTAATTTTGCTACCTTTCATACAAGGTTTATTGTAAGTACTATACAAATTTTTTAATTCTACCCAATTGCTATTTATAATTAATTGTATGACTAAGCAACAAAAATTTACTCATTCTTTGAGGTCCTATGATAATAACTTTTGGAAGTTTCATACTCAACTGCTTAGATGAATAAAGTGATCTTTGATGTAAACGTCATAACATGCTCTACCAAAGCAGGATAATAAAGTTAATGATATCATTTAACATGTGCTCAAATTGCTTCAAACCATCTACAGACTACACCAGAACTGCTCCACAGGACTAAATGCAATTAAATGAATTACATAAACACTGGTTAACTGTTAACTGGTTATTTTATCTCCTAATTTTAAACTATCACTGGAGCCGAGCCACCGACCAACTCATTTTGGTAGCGAGGCATCCCAGCTAGAACAAAATTTCAAATTTATTGCAAAATAGACAAACTAAAAGAAAATTCTCCTCTGTATGCAATATGAATCATGGGGCCGAATACAAAATATTTTGTGATATCTTGTGCAGCCCTGTTATTCATCACGTATACTGCTACATATGAAATGCTCAACCAAATAAACATCCGTACCAAAGTGTGATACAGGTCCCTTCATACAGACTCCATTATGATTTCAAAACCTAAACCCAATACAGCGTATATATGGATTCTCATTGTCAAATCTTGTGCTATCCAGGTCCCTCTCTAGGGCCTACAACTAATCCCTTGGATGCAACCCACAAAATAACTTAAATACCTATTTAGTGCTAGATAAATAACTGTAGGGATGCGGGACAAGCTTGGGAAAGACTGGGTTTATCAGTCAATTGACTACACTAGCCACTTTACTATGTTAAGGATGTGTAAGTCATACTACTGTGCATAATATGGGGATACTAGTCATAAAATATTAATTTAAGTTTAAATTTTACAGCTACTGTACCGTTAGGATTGACATCACAACACACTTCGAAGTCAGAATGCACCAGCCCATATTCCCCATTTACATATAGCACACAACCTAACCAAATCTATCAACCATATCTATGTAGAACATGCATACAGCTCAACACTTAATGTTTAAATAACTGGTGCTTGAGATTTATGTAATAATGCAACAAGCTGACCTACAAGTGCTGGAGTTAGCATACAGACCTGATAGTGCAACATGCTACTCCAGCCACATGGCACTTTGTAACAAAGTTACATTGTACACAACATTTTAAAACCTACCAAATTACTCAACCTAAATACATCCTAACAATGATGTTTACAATCTGAAAACAAGCTTTATCAAAATGTGTGCGAATGATTTTGACCCACACGTTTGTAACTACAGTATAAAGACCTCCAAGAGTAGGTTTTCAACATATCACTCATACCTCAGACTATACCTTACAGTACCGAAGACTTTGCCAACAATTTCAAAGCCTACAAAATGCACCCAACCCTATTAGAAGTCGCATTGTTCACAGGACAGTTAAACAGATTTTAAACCTACTAAACCCATCCTAAAACTAACCAATTTAACCCAAGCAAATGCCTCATTTAACAATATACTGTTTGTGAACGAGAACACCTTACCCTCGTCTACATTACCAATAGTCTAAACCTCAAAAAAATAAATGCACATCCCAACAATTCATCGAATCCCAAGGTGCACACAGTGGACATTGAGGCAGTGAAACACCTGAAACTAACCTACCATAACCCCTCGACCACACTCGAACACCAGCCACTTGACACTTACAGTATCCCCTGCAGGACGCCTTTGGGGATTTTGAGGTCAAAATGCAGTGTACTGAGGGAACAGGTTGCCTTTAATGATCTTTAAGGCACTACCAAAGGCTTGCAAGCATTTGGCTTACAGTGAGCTGTATAGTTCTCGTGCAGGCCCACGCAGGGCACTGCAATAACTAGCAAGCAGCAAAACACTGATCACTGTACTTCAAAAAAAAAAATTAATTTACTCTAACATTGGAAAAACATGATAATATGATAATATTTGGGTATCAGCTACTCAAAAATGAGACCATTGTGTTGTACAAGACTTTAAACAAATTCTGACCTCACGACCACGTCTTGGGACGAATAAAGTACCACTCCACCACAAACATATCTTACATATTCTGGCCTAGAAATTTCAAGATTTTAATTACGTTTTTAAGACACTTTTACACGTATAGGAGCAATGTTTACGCCAGACACGTGAGACCACAACACAACACCCCGGGAACACCTCTACACAAACCTGGTCTCCAGACCCGTATTTATCCTCCTTTTAACACCATCCTACGTACAAATAACTGCTTCCTAACAACACACTTAAGACACTCCTGCACCACCACTTCCCACACCCGTGGACACAACACCTGACGAAGTGCTGTTCCTTCACCTCCCCCCACACACATCACATATCTCCCCACCATCCGTGGGCGTGGGCGGCAGTGTGGGCGCGCAGGAGATGGTGTGGATGTGGGGGAAGGCATCACGAGGCCCCACAGCCCAGGTGGGTGAAGGATGGCGGGTGTAGGAAGGGATAAAGCAGATCGTCCAGGCTCACCTCTCTTCGACATGGCTGGCGAGTGGTGAAGGTCTGCGCTCGCGCGCCCGCACACCTTTACCACCCTAAACTCTCTACTTCATCCATCAATACCTATTCAACTTACTTCCACCTATTTAATGATTTAGTTAAGCTCCATAAATTATTTATAAGTTATTTATGAAGATAAATTTACCCTCTCTTGCACCACCATACTCTCCAATTATTTACACAAACAGTTAACTTATTTCAATTTCAATTTCAATTTCAATTATCAGTTTCAATAATATTTTTCCAATTATTGTTACAATATTCCTTTGATATTTTTTTCAATCTATTTAAATATATATCAATTAAATATATGATATTTGTATACATAAATTTATATTACTTTTTTTGTTAGGCTTAGGGACTTACCTAGTTGTGCTTGCAGGAGTTAAACTTTGGCTCATTGACCCCGCCTCTTAGCTGCCAATCAACTGGTGTACATGTTCTGAGCCTATTTGGCTCTATCATATCTACATTTGAAACTGTATATGGTGTCTGCCTCCACCACATCACTTCCTAATGCATTCCACTTAACTGTTAACTATACTGACACTGAACAAATCTTTCAAATGTCTCTGTGGCTCATTTGGGTATTAAGTTTCAACCTGCATTCCCTTGTTCATGTGCCACCCATGCTAAATCACCTGTCTTCATCTACCCTGTCAATTCCTCTCAAAATTTTGTAGATGGTAATCATGTCTCCCCTAACTTTCTGGCTTGCAGAACTAAGGAAGACATGAGTGTGAGCAGATCGCTCTACAACAACCTGTAAGATAGAATAATAATAATAATAATAATAATAATAATAATAATAATAATAATATAGTAATACAGTAATAATTTGTATTACTGTATTACAAATTATTTCCATGATGTAATTTGATGTAAGAAATATACAAAAGCAGATATATATACATAGACTACTATAGTGTAAGACTGTGACTCCTTATCATATACTTAACTTTCACTTACCCACACTACAACTATATAGCCACTATACCCAGCATGCAAAATATATACTAGGAATATTGTAACCTCAGTTATAAACAACACAACTGATGCACAGAGCAAGAACTGATCCCTCCTGTTGATTTGTTATCTGGGTTTTAAACTGAAGTAATGTCTTAATTGGCATTTATGGTCTTGGCTGGTACTGGTTCCAAAAGTTTATAACCTTATAGGTGAAAAAGTGTATGTTCTCTGTCCTACATTGTGGTTTGATGAGCTTGAAGATGTTGTCCCATGTGCGTTACATTTTACCTTATAAAGAAGGTAAATATCATCCAACATGTTTAGTATTTTAAAAGTTTCGATGAGATATCAGCCCTGTCATGTGTGGTGGCAGTGGTCTTAATTCTATAGCCCTCAACCGTTCCTAGTATAAAAGTCGACTGAATTAGTTATGGAATGATTTTTATCACTCCGTGTTGAATTTCACAAAAGCAGATATGTCCTTTGAAGATGAGGTCTCCATGCTTTGATACAGTCATACAGTAATACAGATAGAGAAGCACCAGAGAGTGTACAGTTGAATAACATCTTTATTTTCCTTAAAGTCAAATTAGGTTCGTTTGACTATTTCTAAGTTTGACCAACCACTTAGACTGGACGGTAGAGCCATAGTCTTGCTTCTTGAAGGCCGGTGTTCAATCCCTGACCGTCTAAGTGGTTGAGAACCATTTCTTTTCTTTGCAGAACCCACTTCTTGTGCCACTTTCAGTGACTGATGGATCACGACATTTAGGTTCTTTTGTTCATCAAATCGCTGCATATGTATGGTATAATTATTCATTGTATGAAAATTGTAATGTGCATTTTTATGCTCTACATACAAGGTCTTGCATTTTTCAGTTTTGATAAGCCAGTCTTCTGGCCATTTATAGAGTTTATGTGTCTCTCTTGGTAAGGCCTTTATATCTTTTCGTTTCTTAATATGCCATAGATCTTAGTGCCATCTGCAACTATGATAACGTGGTTTGTAATATTTTCATCATTCATTGATGTACAGTACTCGTCAAAAGTATGAAGCGAGTAGTTTCCGCATTACTTTTGCAGGCATACTTTTGCCATAAGTATGCGGCTCGAGGGGGCCGCATACTTATGGCAAAGAAGATTAATCATCTTGTGGGTAAACAATTTTAGACAAAAGTATGCAGCGGTTACATGACGTCACTGCATCCGTTAGCTGTCGGTAGCTACCAAAAGTCAAAACGTCTAGTAGCCTGCAGGATATATCATGATAATCAGAGCTATATGCTGCTGTTTGACCGTGCCTCGTTATCATGGCACCTATCAAGGACCTAAGCAGAGAAACCATTGCTCGGATCATTGCCTTAAAGAAGACAGGCCACCAAACTAAGAAAATCAGCGAGTTGGTCGGCGTGGCCAAGTCGACAGTGAAGAAGTACTGTGCTCGTTTCAGAGAGGAAAACAGCGGTGAGACGCCAACACAGAAACCTCGGTCAGGTCGCCCCAGAAAGACCTCTTCGTGGTCTGTAAACGTTCTAAAACGTTCATTGGAGAGAACGCCACGCGTTACGGCGAGGCTAGTGAAGGAGACGAACCCTGAGGTGTTCAGTGGCGTGTCCTTGCGGACCGTATCTCGCCGAATGCACCAGTTGGGTTATATTAGCCACAACCCACTGAAGGAGCCCCACGCACGGTATATGGAGACCACCCTAATACTCCCACATGTGTATACACTACATATATTTATATATATATATATATATATATATGTCTTTATATGCATACAGTATATGTATACATATATATATGTATACACACATATATATTCATTATAGTAGTACTGTAGTTGTATTAAACTCTTGTAAATCATTCTAAAAGTATTAATTTTGTGAAGGTTTACTCTACGTGAAATTCACGGCCATTTCAGTTTACTGATGTTTGTGTTGTGTGGGACCCGCTGCTTCCTTTCACTCGACCCGTGCTGGTAGTATTTCTGGCTTTGTGGGTGTTACGGAGGCGTGTCTGTGGTTTATATGGGTGGTGTCTGCTGGCTTGTGTGGTGCTTGTTACCTGGTGATGGATAAAAGGGTTTACGGGGGCGAGGTTTAGTGGGAATGTTTGAATATAATGGTGAGGGACTCCTTAGGTGGGGGGCGACCAGCCATGTTATGAATCTCTGAAAGCCGACCCGTGGACTTGTCTGGTGTTATTCTTGCTCTCACTATCCTCAGTTACACTCATACTGCTCTAATTTGCCCTCATACTGATCTCATTTGCCCTCATACTGCTGTCATTTACCCTCAGACTGCTCTCAGTTACACTCACACTGCTCTCAGTTACTCTCATACTGCCCTCAGTAATTCATACTGCCCTCAGTTACTCTCATAGTGCCCTCAGTTACTCATACTGCCCTCAGTTACTCATACTGCCCTCAGTTGCACTCATACTGCCCTCAGTTACTCTCATACTGCCCTCAGTTACTCATACTGCCCTCAGTTACTCTCATACTGCCCTCAGTTACACACACACTGTTCTCAGTTATCCCTCACACTGCTCTCAGTTACTCATACCTGGCTAATTTATCACTCAAATAACTAAACTGTGCCACATTGAGGTTGTGTGTGAGTATGAGCAAGTGTGGAGGCTACAAGGTCCTCAAAGCACGAGAATTCCTGGTTTTACCTGAGGGCCAACGTCTGTCTAGGGGCCTTGATGGGGACAGGAAACGGCGGCTTGTCAGAAGTTCAGCCACCCCCCCACCACCATTGTTCCTGAGGACTTTGAACTGAAGTAATGTTTTGACATTTGAAGCTGTAAATAATAATAATTATTATCTACAGCTTCGACAGGTAGGCGGTTCCATGGGTTTTTAACTATACAAATTACTCTCACTCGTCCTCATTTATTTTCAGCCACATCAAAGATGCATTACCTCGTCTCGGGTGTACAGTAGTAGTACTTTTTCTGCATGATGAAATAATTCAAAATTGCTTTTATGTAACAACCCTCTCTATACTTTAATTTTATATCTATAATAAGAGTATTATTGCATATTTTCAGTTATCACTTGTATGTTAATACCAAAATTATTGTTAGAAAGCTGAATACTTTGTGTTTTTCAGAAAGGAGGATAAAAAGAAGAATAAGAAAATGTCACCAAAAAACAAAAAAAATGAATTGCCAGGAAAGGATCAGAACATAGTGCAATCTGTCTCTTCACAACCCACGTCGGGAAAGAGAGCAAGAGAAGAGGAATCTAGTGGCCAGAGTCGGGACCAGACTGAAGCACACTCTCCCCATAAAAGAATAAAGGAAGTAGCTAAAACCATTAAACAGGAAACGACGAAAAGCATTAATCAGGAAGCGGCTAACATCAACAAAACTAAACAAAAGGCTGTCAATAACAAGAATACTAATAATGCTGAAACACCCAAAAATTGCAATAAATTGGTAAAAACTGAAAAAGAAGAGGCAAATAAGGCATCATTGTGTAATGTAAAAGTAGAAAATAGCAGACTTAATACTATGTCAGACGAAGATGGTGAGCTCATTGTTCCGGATAATACTGAGGAAATAATAGTCCCTGAAGAGCCTGGAAAAATAATTGCACCTGAAGCAGTACCAAAATATTTATATCATGAAGACAGAAAGGGTATTGTGTCACACGATGTTAATAGTATCATTGAGATAGATAAAGATTGTATTGACCATGATAAGGATTTTATTGACCATAAGGATATTGACCATGATAAGGATTTTATTGACCTTGATAAGAATTTTATTGACCATGAAAAGGATTTCATTGACCATGAAGAGGATTGCGTTATCTTGGAAAGGGATAACTCGGATAGTCCTGATGAGGATCCTTTATCTTCACCATCTCAGAAGGTATTGCGATCTAATTCAACACATAAGGTGAGACCTTGTTACTTGCATGTGTTCCCATTTTCTTTTGATTTAGAGATGTGCACTGGCTGTATTGCATATGCAATAATGCTTATTACATATTCGTTTTGTATTAACAAGCTTAGGTATACACAGCAATGTGCTGCTACCCTATTCTATGTGAAAGATTACATTGTGTAGGTCAAAAACTAGTTATAAGTTCATCTAATATCCCCATCACTCGGGATGGTTAGTCATACATGGAATCGGGTGATAACATGAAATGCGAGGCTGATCTATTAGCCTTCATTACCATTTATACATCTTTTTATAGGAAAATGCATTTGGCCTCTTATCACATTTACAAATGCATAAGTGTGGTAAAAATTGCCCTGTAATACTTCAGGATGTGTAAATGGTAAGACGGAGTTTTTGGTGGATATGATCACTCATGGTGGATGGGCGGCACTGTTCCCTGGCTCATGATTGTGGCATAAATGCAGGCGGACAGTTGTAGATTCTTATGTTGTTGATTGAAGGGCGATGACGATCGAGGGATCGGTTTCTTACGTCACTGTACAGTATTTGTTTGTCAAATCAAATCAAATTAAATAACTTTATTCATAAATGAGTGTTTAGCAGTTTAGCAAGTTGACATCAAAATTACAGACTCTAGTTAAATAAGTCACAAAAACAGCATAGCACATTGACATTATCAAAATCAGAAACTTTATTCATAACATATTAAGCAGATAATTACATTACTGGCTCAACTAAACACACGTATAGCAATCTAAATCAAACTTACAGGTTGTAAAAATATTGTAAATTGCAAAATTGTAAAGCATTGTAAATTGTAAATTCTTTGTAAAAATAAAATGATGTTTACCATTAGAGCAGTAGGACATCCATTAGCACAATTTATATCACAAAATTTATATAAAACAATTAAAAGTAAAAGTAATATAAACAATTCATACCATGACATTATAGATATTTTTAAACCCTTGGTATTCATCATCAACAGGTTCTGGGGGCTATCCCAGCTCAAAATCACTCCAAACACACTGCTCATTTAACATCAATCTGACTTTAATTGGAGTCAAAATGCCTGCTAGCAATCCATCTCACTGTGACAGTAGTTTCTTCATAGCTATAATTTTTTATTTTATTTATATATATATGTGTGTATATATATATATATATATATATATATATATATATATATATATATATATATATATATATTGTATATATACTGTATATATATACACACACACACACACACACATGAACGAACGAGAATTCTTACATTCTTGCACAGCCACTAGCATGCATAGCATTTCAGGCAAGTCCTTAATCTTAATTTTCACACACACACATCCCCAGGAAGCAGCCCATAGCAGCTGTCTAACTCCCAGGTACCTATTTACTGCTAGGTGAACAGGGAGCATCAGGGTGAAAGAAACCTCTGCCCACTTGTTTCCGCCTCTGCTGGGGATTGAACCCGGGCCCTTAGGACTACGAGCGCTGCGGGGGCCTGACGACTGGATAAATATCCAGCTTGGAGGTGGGAGTTTTTTCTGCTAATTAGTTTTTATCCTGTACTGTAGACCTGCTCTTGCTTATGTTGTATTTCCTAACACTTAAGTTTATTTCTGGATAGGTAAGAGTGGCCAGTAATCAGTGAGTGCCTGAAAAAATGATTTTATTGAATTTACTAGATGAGTGATTCCTTTCAGGAAAAATTGTTGTTTGTGAATTATTTCTTCAAGTGTAGGTGTGGACATCAAACCTGTTAGGAGATTGCAATTAGTGCGAGGATGGACACCCGAGATATGTGTAAAACATTTGCTCCATTCACAATTAAGCTTACCAAGGTCAGCATTTTGTAGGTCCCATAGTTTATAAAAGAAAATTGAGCATAAGTTCATTCATATGTATGCTGTACATGAAGAGAAAAATGGAGAAAATTTGAGATTATATAATGCCTGTTATTGGGAACAGGAAACATATACTAAGGCTTATTGATGTCCCCCTATCACCTGACAGCTGGGTGGACAGCGCTTCAGATTCGTGGTCCTGAGGTTCTGGGTTACTTCCCCAGTGGAGGCGGAGACAAATGGGCAAAATGTTTCTTTCACCCTGATGCCCCTGTTACCTAGCAGTAAATAGGTACCTGGGAGTTAGACAGCTGCTATGGGCTGCTTCCTGGGGGGGTGTAACAAAAAGGAGGCCTGGTCGAGGACCGGGCCGCACGGACGCTAAGCCCCGAAATCATCTCAAGATAACCTCAAGATAACTACTCACCTTTTCCAGAATGCAACCCACAACGATAACTCCCAGGTACCTATTTAACTGCTTGGTGAAAAGAGGCACCAGGGGAAATGAAAATTGCCCAACTGTTTCTGTCCTGCCCAAGAATTGAATTGCAGTGCTTTTGCTATGAGCCGAGGAGACAGTGAAAGATGTAAGGAAAGTGGAAGAATGTTGTGGGATTGTGTCACTATGGAGTGCTGGATAAGCTTAATGTTAGTGGGAAGCGGGTTTTTGAACTAGGGAAAATTTTTTGCAAGTCTCTGAATGTAAGAAAGTTGGAGGAGACAATGGAAGAATATCTAAAATTTCACAAAAGGTTACACAAAATATTAGACAATTTAGGAAAATATGGCTGAGAAAGTGACGTCAAAATAGGAATATGTTGGAGACAAGACAATGCATGTAGTTAGAAGTTGGTAAAAATAGTACAGAGGAAAAGTACTGTACTTTTAAATTAACTTGTATTAGCATTTTGGACATGCTAATTACAATTACAAGTTTTATAGTCAACATTATTGCCCTGATAATGTTAGGATTGACATAGGCTTTCATTTGCTTTTGAAAGGAAGTAATAATTTATCTTGCCCAACATTTGGAAAGCAGTCAACTGGATGTTGATTTAATTTCATCTGAAGTGTGTGTATGTTGGTGTAAATGATTTCTAATATAATTTATATATTATATATACATATACTGTACATATTTTTTCTAGGAACACATGCTGATGGAACATGAAAAACAGCTTTATGAATGTCATGTGTGTTCCTTCAATTCTGGGAACCCGGAGACACTGGAGATCCATATATTCAAGCGACATGTCGTAAACGAGGAATGTGTTGAGCCAGTATCACTCGATGAAGTTAAGAATGACTTAGATGATCGTTTGTCAAAGCAAAGACCTCGAAAAGTTATGTTGGAGGATGGGGTATCTCTTGGATGTAAAGTCAGCAACAAGGTGCATTTCACTTGTGCAATGTGCAATCGTATTTTTACCAGTAAGCGTTCACTCATGTTTCATGTCCAAAGTCACACAGGAGAGAGACCATATTCATGTGATATTTGCAATTTCACTACGAGGTATCGAGAGCACATGCAGCGCCATATGACTTGTGTTCACCTTATTGTGCACTCAGATGAGCCTACACTTAAATATTCATCCACAAATCGAAAAAAGTCTGAAGAAAGAAATGTATCCACAGACGATGATGAAGGGGAGAAAGATCCAGATACTGAGATTGTAAATAAAAATGAACACAAATATAGAAACGAAAATGAAGGTGAAAAAAATGAAGCAAATGAGGATATAAGCACAGATTGTAACTTAAACTCTGCAGACACTACTTCACATGGTGGAAGGAAGAGGCGGAATTTATTGCATAAACGCTTTCAGTGTGCTACTTGTGGGATGAAGGCTACTCATAAGACAGATCTTGTAGATCACATCAGGGAAAAGCACCCAAATGTTCATAATGAATCATTGGGTAATGTTGATGGGTCCAAGGGCCAATTTAGTGTAACAGGCTCAAAGAAGAGTAATATAGTCCAACAGATAATCTGCTCTTATTGCTCTAGAGTCTTCCATGACAACTGGAAATATAAAGTGCACATGCGAGTACATACAGGCATTAAACCCTTTGGGTGCAGTGTGTGTTCATTTTACACTACTAGTAAGATGACTGTTCGTGACCATATTCATCGTAAGCACAAAAATTGTGTGAATCCCAAGATTGTTTTGCGTACTGTAAATATTGATGGGACAGTCGGTCACACTGAGCTTGGCATGCCACACCAGGAGTTCAAATGTGACTACTGTGAAAAAGTGTTTGAAGATAATTATCATTATAAACAACACAAGAGGAGTAATCATAAAGATGCTTTACCATACTCTTGTACTAAATGTGGTCATAGAGAAAGTGTTCGAGCAAAAATGATCATGCATTGTATGCAAAACCACAGTGATGAAGAGCTTGAGGGACTAATATTACACAACAATAAGCCCTTTAATGTTGGACCTCTCAAGCTTCCTAAATGTCAGCAGTGTGACAAAATTTTTCCATACCAGTCACAACTAAATATACATCAGAAGCAACATGGTGAATACAGGTACTTTTGCGATATCTGCAGTTATGGCACCAATATTAAGGCTGCACTGGAGAGGCACATAATGAAGCATTTTGATGGTGAGCCTCCAAAGAAATCTGGAATTAGAAAATCTGTGAGGAATAAGGTTACAGATTGTGACCAAGCGACAGTCTTTGTTGATGTTGATAACGTAAACAACGGTGTATTAACATGAGAGAAGTAAAAGAGGAGAATGGTAAATGATCATCTAAAACCCAAGCTTCACTGAATAAGTGCCTTCTTTTGCATAATATTTTTGCCTTCAGAGGGACCTTACTGATTTCATTAAGATATCAATAATAATATTTAATTTATATAAAAGTACATACATTTGGATATATGAAATTGTGCAGAATTTGTAGATAAGAAATGTACATTACTTAAAGCCATTAATATATGGAGCATTTCAAATAATTGATGCGTTTTAAGGTATATTTATAATCTGTAGTTCATTATTACAGTACATAGTATTCAACTAAGTAATTGTAGAAGAGATTAAGCATATGACTGAAAATTTTTAATGATATTTAGAAACGGCAGTTTTTAGTAGTAACGTGTTTTCCTTAAAAATTTCCAGACTTCAGATTAAT